TTCTGTAACACACAGTGGTTGTTCCAATTGAATTGTAGTTACTTTGTAGTTCTTTATAGTGCCATTCGGTAATTGCCATGTGCTTTTGGTGCAGAGTTGTTTGTACTTTCATTAAGTAAATATACCCCTAGACAACAAGCAACAAGAAAACATTGATGCAGAGCATCAAAGTTCCCCGCCATATGTGATGCCTCACAAACGCATAATTATGATGTTACTGAAAGGCATGATGGAGCATAATTATATTAACCACAAATAACACAATGCTGTTGTGGAAAAAAATATTATTTATTTTGAGCATTGGGCAATACAGTTGATACATTTGCATAGGGTAGGTCTATTTAAAAATAGTTTCTTGTTTAACGCCGCACTCAGCAGTATTCCAGCCATATGACGGAGGTCTGTAAATAATCCAGTCTGGACCAGATCATCCAGTGATTGACACCAAGAGCATCGAACTACGCAATTGGAATATGATGTTATGCATCGACCAAATCGGCGAGCCTGACTACCCAATCCTGTTCGTCGCCTCTTACGGCAAGCATAGGTTGCTGAAGACCTATTCTTACCTGGGTCTTTATTTAAAAAGTAGATCGAAGGAAATGGAAGCAATTTCTGGCACAAATGTAAACATGTGGAAATAGTATCAAAACTGCCAACAACATTGGCAGATGCACATACTCAAAAAATAGATCACATTCTTTTTACTCTTAGCATTTGGTTATAATAATGTAAATGAAAATACTAAGGGCTCCATATGGCAAAAAAAGTCATACTAGATAAGTTTTTTTGGGTCACAACCACAGATGCACATACTCAAAATATTATCACGTAGTTGGAGAACATTTCAATACCGGGACTAATCAATAACGGAGATTCCTCGTCTCTTGTTTTACGTTTTTTGGTCAGTTTTTTTTTGTATTTCTTTCTTTCAAAGAATAGTAATTGTGATCATGATGAGTTGAGTTGCTTGGTTTTTTTCTATATACTATTTTTTATCCAGTGTCAGTAACTGTTGTGGAATGTGGTTTACTTGTAACAATGACTGGTTTGAGTTCATATGATGATGATTAATTGGTTTGTCGTTTAACGCCGCACACAGCAATATCCCAGCTATATGACGGCGGTCTGTAAATAATCGTGTCTGGACCAGACAATCCAGTGCCTAATATCATGAGCATCGATCCACGCAATTGGGATTGACGCCTCTTACGACAAGCATAGTAGCCTGATATATATACTGTTAAGATGTAACATGACAATTCATCCATACTACTAAACAGAAGTAAAACCGCTTGTCCATTCGGATCAATCTGACCAAGACCATTCCGCTGATGACAGTCAAATAATGCATACGAATCGAAATCCGTAAAAATTGCAAAGGAGACATCATTAAAAGTTACCAAAAGTGACGGGGATATCAATATTGCTTTTTGAAATGATTCTATGAAATTTGTTTTCCCTGCTTCAATATTTGGAGCACCTGTGACGGAGCCATAAAACTGATATGTTATGTAGACAATATCGCTTGAGGCAGTGGCTGCTGGGAGCTGATTATGACCTAAATACCCCTCATAGCATTCGGTGTTAACTTTGTGGCTGTTGAGAGCTGTGCCTTCATCCAACAGATTATCGAGATCAGTGGAACACGGTACAGACGCAAATAGATTTGAGCCATGGGACACAAAATATATGAGTGACCAGAGCATCCAAACAATCAAAAGTGTGGTATGTAGAATATGGAATTCAGCCATATTACATTTAAATTGAGATGTCGTTGTTCATGAAAAAGCATATTCAGAACATAATTTTTATTATGCTGTCTGATCATTATAATCAGGATCAGGGTGTCCCACAAGGCAGTATTTTGTCTGTCACTTTATTCAGTATAAAAATTAACAGTTTGTCAAAAGTTTTAAATGATTCAGTTGATGGATCACTTTTTGTGGATGATTTTAATCTATCTTGTCGGGGTAAAAATATGCACACCATTGAAAGGCAATTACAATTATGTCTTAATAAAATTAACAAGTGGTGTCTAGAAAACGGGTTTAAATTTTCCAAATCAAAAACTAATTGCATACATTTCTGCCGAAAATATAAACCGCATAAGGACCCTGAACTATTTCTGAATGGCACTCCTATCAAAGTTGTTAAGGAAGCCAAGTTCTTGGGACTTATTTTTGATCATCACTTAACTTTTCTCCCGCATATTAAATACCTCAAAGCTAAATGCCTGAAGGCACTCGATCTATTAAAAGTTGTTTCTAATTCAAAGTGGGGAGGGGATCAAACAACCCTCTTACACTTGTACAGGTCACTAATTCGTTCCAAACTTGATTATGGCTCCATCGTATATGGTGGAGCCTGCAAAAGTAATTTACAAAAACTAGATACGATACATCATCAGGGTCTGAGGCTTTGTCTTGGAGCCTTCAGAACGTCTCCCATTCACAGTCTCTATATAGAAGCAGATGAGCCTTCTCTTAAACAACGCCGTCTAAAATTATCTTTACAATACATCACTAAATTATATTCTAATCAGTCCAATCCAGCTTTTGAATGCATATTCCATCCTCTCTACGAGGATCTTTACAATAAGAAATCAACACTTACTCCACCACTCGGAATCAGAATAAAATCTGCAATATCAGCTTCTAATATTCAACTCCAAGATATAGCTCCTACTAAACTTTTCTCGTCTCCTCCTTGGCAAATGGTAAAACCAGAGGTAGATCTTACATTAACAAAACTAAAGAAATCAGACACTAACGAATTAATTTACCAACAAGAATACAGTCAATTAAGAAACACATACGACACTTATAAATCTATATTTACAGATGGATCCAAGGATGGTGGCGCAGTTGCTAGTGCCACCGTCATTGGATCCAGAACAATATCTTCACGTTTACCTGATAACAGTTCCATATTCACTGCAGAAGCAAACGCCATTTTTACAGCACTAAAATATATCTATAATCAAGCTAAACATAAACAATTCATACTGTTTTCAGATTCTCTTTCATGCCTTCAGGCGATTAAAAATATGTCATCAAAACATCCACTTTTAATCGAAATTCTCGAATTATTTAATGATCTTGCTACTGGCCAATATGACATCGTCTTTTGTTGGTTACCTAGCCACGTTGGAATTATTGGTAACACAATGGCCGATGCTGCTGCTAAAGCAGCCCTCAACAAATCTGTGACACCACTTCTGATCCCATACACTGATTTTAAACCCATGATTCGATCTTACATCAGAGATCTTATGCAACAGAAGTGGGACACCCAAGTAGGTATCAATAAATTACATGCAATTAAACCACATATCGGTTACACCTACTTGGGCTGTCAGTCCAGATTTGAAGAGGTCATTATGCGACGATGTCGTATTGGCCATTCAAGATATACACATGAGTATCTTTTAAATGGTGAGGATCCTCCGTTTTGCATCCCTTGTGATGAAAGAATCACGGTCAAGCATGTCCTGCTTGACTGTATTGATTTTTCCATCACAAGGGATAAATATTTCAGTGTCAAAACAGTTAAGGACCTTTTTAATGATGTTAATTCTCATTTAATATTAAGTTTTTTAAAAGAAATAGAACTTGTCCATAAATTTTGATGTGCTTAATGTATTATTTTATAAATTGGTAGTGCTAATAAATAACTTAGATTGTGAGTGGCTGTACCCTCGAGGGGGGTTGAAGTAGCGTAAAATTATTGTCCCCCAAAGAGGGTATGTAAGTCCCAAACCATTCGTAGTATTTGTATGCGTACCAGACTTTTAAATCGAAGTATATTTGTTAGTTTTATTCAATGGCTAAACTTGCATATAATCGCCAGCGACTGAAGGGATGGTGTAAATCCTGCCGGGGTCCATGCAGGAAGCAAAGGTACTGTAAGTCCCCATGGTCCCTGGTGTGGTGATCTCCCTTTAGTTACTGACGATCTCTAGCCCATTTTTATATTGTTTTGTTCCTTACTACTTAATTCTTTTAAATGTTCCGCAACTAGTTTTAAAATCTTATCTGTGATATTCTAGTTCTCATACTGTCCTTCGTTGACAGATTTTTATAAAGTTTAAATATATGTATCTTTCATGTCTAATTTCTCGTCACGATATGGCTGAAATATTGCCGATGTGACGTAAAGCATTACCTCACTCACACTTATTATGCTGTTATTTACGATCTCCGGAGCACAGTTCTTCTTTTGTATACACCGTGAAAATCAGAAAATTAGTCCTTGAGGAAAAAAGGACATCGGATTACACATGAATGGTTTAATAATGTCAGCTAATGACCAGAAACGGTCAGATGCATCAATTAACTACATAAAGACGATTTTGAAGTATCTCTTATTGCTGGAAAAGAATAGCATCAACATTCGACGCACATGATTTGTATGTTTTGTTTCCGTAAATGCGTGGCTTGAAATTTCAAATAAACCAACATATCGACATACATGCCACAAATTTAACGTTTCCCGTATACTTCCCCGCCTTAAGGGCGGGGAAGAATGAAAGTATATAGATTGTAGTACACACTACACGATGTTATCAACATGTAACCAATTATTTGTGTAACCGTTGGGTGATACATATGTTGAATGATCTTTGCCTCCATGAGCCTCGTCATTTTGACAGTAAAAGCACTGAGTGAACGTCAACTATAATGTTTGTGTTAACTCTTTCATCCCTGGCTGCCCCAGAGTTATGTCCCTTGAAACCCTGCAGTCCCTGACACTGACAAGGCTTGTACACTGGCCTCCATGGCAGTATTATTGGAAAATAACACCATCATTTTTGATGCACATCTTCTACCAGAAACCTGCTTTTAATATATACTTACCATATACCATTGTAAAGAGGATTAAGTATAATGTAATATCCTTTGTTGTTATTGTCTCTAACCTTTGTTATTTTCTAATTACAGGTGTTTACAAGTGAAATAAAACTTGAAAACACTGAAGAAATGATAACAGACAATGAATTTGGGTTCAAAATGTATTCAAAATCACAAAAATAAATCACAGATACAATGGGGTGGTCTTGGCTTGTCATCGTGGACGGCACAGGTAATCCCAGGTGTTACAGGTAAATCCTCCTAATGCACATCTGTAAACAAATAAACAAGTTTACAACACTTGGTACTGACTTTGTTTTCTATACCGATGTCACATATTACTTATGATACACTTATAGCCTCTTAGGTAAACTCGTTAACACAGTTAAAAACACCATATAAGATTTTTTTGGTTCTTTTTCTGGATATGAAACAAAACTTAAGTATTTAAGTAAATAAATAGTTATTTTTCACATTACCTGAACATTGAACGACAGCTACTGCAAGAAAGACATCACAGGGAAGACATTACCAAACGAGCTGAAAGGACGGAAAGATTGTAAGTCCAACAAATATACAACTTGTGATAACATATTTACAATGCATGGCTATTTACTGCATAATAAATTAAATTAGTACTTAATAATTCAATAAATAAATAAAATAATTATTACAGTTACTAAAATTTAAACTAGGATGAAAAAACAACAAAAGCAAACATGAATATGGAAATAAATTTTATTCAAATTGTGCCAAATACAAGGACATTCGACGACAAACCGCCCAACTACAATTTGGACTGCGATCAGAAAAAAAAGTTGTAGCCAAGAGTTGCCTCCCTTTTTAAATTGTAATCTGCAACGTATAAGCTTGAAAAACACACAAACTATGTCAAAAGTTACTTTTAAAGTTATTCATAGCTTAAATAATTTAATGTTTGTGTTTGAAAGATAAAACGTTTATGCGAACTACTTCTGAGAAGAAGTAAGTTACCAATACTTTTATTGCTAAAAATTTACTTGTCAAAAAACGGCTTACATGTGCTGAAAAGAAGTTCTATTAGACCATTGAATTACATTACAATATATTACATTGAGATGCAGGATAACCGAGTACATTCATTGGACTCCAACCTGAAAGGAAAACGTATCACAGTATAACAAAGAATAAATGTAAACAAGCATAACGTAATAAATAAAAGTATCACAAAAGTGTGAAATAGATATGTGTACATAATAGATGTAATAAATATATTTACAACTATAAGAAGTGGAAATAAATATATTTACAATTATTAAAAGTGGCAATAAATATATTTACAATATTTACAAATGTTTGTGGCAAAGGGCTTCGGTGGATAATCAGCGCCAATACTGGACCTTAGTATGGTACTCTTGGAAACAGCTCTTCTTTGAGGAACAGCAAAGTGGGACGTCACACTTGGAGCACTTCATGGACGTCTTTGACCTCTTGTATGGGTTGTCTTTGTAGGCCACTCCTGGATGGGATGTCAGAAACACTTGATGTTTTTTAGTACATACGCGGCACGCACAGTAACTACTTACTGCTGCATCAGACCAGTGGTTGTTGCAGTCCAGGCGCTGTTCCTCATGGTCACCATGTCGCTGTGAGGTGTTCCTGTTGGTGATGTTGCCGAGGAGCTGATGGGCCAGGTCAAGTCGGAAGGACAGGAGATCTCTCTTGCGTCTTCCCTTGGGGTTGTGATCGTTGATCGTACCTTCAATGAGATATGCATTATAAATCGCAATCTCTCTTAGCTTGATCTCAACACGCCTGTACCATTTCATAGATTTTTTTACTCTTGTTCACACGCGTGTTCTGATCAAGCTTATCTACACCCCCCATGTACTTTCCATACTCTACCACCGCTGGTGTTACAGCAAGTTCCTCCCGAGTTCCATCCTTCTTCCTCCTCTTTGTCGTCAGTCCTTCTTCCTCCGGGGGGGAAATCCTGTAGATAGGAAGTAGACCGGCCTGTTGTCCTTCCACATCGTCGCGACGAAGTCTCCACGGGCAACCCAGTCGATGGATCCACATTCGAGACGAGTAGCATCTCTTCCTGTTGGTAGCTGTGCCGTCGGGTAGCCTTTCCTGTTGATCCGAACAGTGCCGCACAGGTACGTCTCCTCCAACAATAGATAATCAGCAAGTGTAGGACTTGTGTAAAAAATATCTGTAAAGATGATATGAACTTTGCCAAGAATTTCCTTACAAAGGGTAACAACCTCCTGTCCTGAAAGCCCAAGCTGTCGATCGACTACTGTTCCATACTTCCCTGTATAAACGTCAAAGTTGGAACAGTAACATTACCGGCTTATCTCGCATGTACTGTTTGATACTTAGCCTGCCCTTGAAGGGAATCATCGCCTTGTCCACTGACACTTGCTGGTGGAGACTGTAGTGTTCCTGAAGAGAAGACCTGAGATGATCAAGTATGTAGCGTACCTTGTGCAGTTTGTCATTAGCATTAGGATTGTCAGTGCTGAAATGCAAGTACCTTTTTACATGTGTAAATCTATCTCTGGACATAATGTCAGGGACTGGAAATTTCAACAAAGGATATTTAATTCCAGAATGCCAATACATTTCATCCCTGTCAAGTTTCACAATATCCATGTAAAGCAAAATGCTATAAAAAGCCTTGATTTCAACAAGAGATAGTCATACCACTCATCTTTGTTGTTGTTGTTCTCTTGATGGCTGCATTGTCATTCGTTTCCCCGATAATCTTCAAAAAGAGAATCATCGTAATACAATTGAAAAAAATCAATAGCACGACCATCTTCACTCACCGTGTCAATATTCTTTGGCCCTGTCTCCTCTGCAAAATCCCTTATAGCTCCACCGTTGTAGTCCCACTGCCACACCCATTGTTGAAAGTTCGGAGGGGAGTACACATCGTCAAAACCATCAAAATCTTCCTCGTCGTCCGAATCCCCCAAAAGATGGCGAAATACTCTCTCCCCTTCGCGTAAATTAATCAGATAAAAAACATTATCATTTCCGAAAAGATCGTCATCCGACATCTGATCGTTATCCGAATCGCAGTTGGCCGCCATTACGCAAGGAATTTAGCGAATCAAACAAGAACATTTACCTGTCGCGAAAACACGTTACCTACGCTCGAATTTCCCGCGAAAAAGACAGGAAAATTACATGGAATGACTAGATCTCATTTCTAATTTTAGAACGAGATTACACACGAGAAAGGAAGTAGAATGAGCGATTTTGTAAACAAGTACGCGCCGCCCGAAATATCGGGCAGCCGTGTGTGGGACTTGGACAGTAGCCGCCCGATTTATTGGGCAGCCGGGTCGCGGGCCATGGTTTATGCTGCCCGATAAATCGGGCAGTCGGGGCGAAAGGGAAAAATTCTTCCCCACAGGTGTCTTGGGCTGCATCTCACCTTGCTTCCCGGCAAGTGTAACCCATGCATCAATCAAGTCAACGAGCCTGACCACCCGATCCCGCTAGTCGCCTTTTACGGCAAGCATGGGTTGCTGAAGACCTATTGTACCCAATTGGGATCGATGACATGCATCAACAAAGTCAGCGAGCCTGGCCACCCGATCCCGCTAGTCGCCTTTTACGACAAGCAAAGTCGCCTTTTAGCGCAAGCATGGGTTCCTGAAGACCTATTCTACCCAATTGGGATCGATGACATGCATCAACCAAGTCAGCGAGCCTGACAACCCGTTCCCGTTAGTCGCCTCTTACGACAAGCATCGTCGCCTTTCACAGCAAGCATGGGTTGATGAATAGCTATCCTACCCCGGGTCGTGATGCATTCGAATGCTTATTATAGTGTTAGTAACATACAAAACAAAAATTAATAAGAGACATGGAATGTGGTATGTTGTTGTCAAGGCCGTAGATAACATTTTTTTTGACAGGGATGGCGAATAAGATTATTCATTTCTTATTGAAGTTAACTTTCACAAGGAAAAATGTTTTCTATAAAAAGTCGGGGGGGGGGGGGGGGGCAACTGGCCCCCCATGCACCATGCACCACAGCTGGCTACAGGTCACACGCATTGATAGTTAATCCATTGATTTGTTTACTTGTTCTTTAATGCCGCACCCAGCAATATTCCAACAATAATCGAGTCTGGACCAGACAATCCAGTGATTGGCATAATAAGCATCGATTCACGCAAATGGGATACGATGACATGCTTCAACCAAATCAGCGAACCTGACCTTCCAATCCCGTTAGTCACCTCTTACGACTAGCATAGTCGCATTGGTTGTTGAAGAGCTATTCTACCCCTCGGGTCTTCATGGGTATAAAATGGGGGCACGGGTGGTCCAGTCGTCTAAGGCGCTGCGATTCGCTGTGCAGAGTTGCGTCCTTTGGGCGCGCCAGAAACCTATGATCGTGGGTTCAAATCCTGGTTCGCCCCGATTATGTTTCTAGGTTTGTCAGCACCATACCCGTGCTCATGGGTTTCACCTGCATCACTTTGGGCTTTCCTCCCACATTAAGCTGACACGCAGCGATATAACTGGAATACTGTTAAAAGCGGCGTAAAACCCAACTCACTCACTCACTCATGGGTATAATTCATTGAGGAGAGATACTAACGCTTCGTATAAATGCACCAACATGTATATTATTGCCCAACTGCAGTATTTCTATTGAAATTTTAACATATTTAGAGCTGTGAACTGTGTCAGTATTTTCAATGATACGCATACAAGACGTTGCACCTCATCGATTAGTTTAAATGCATCACACCATGAATATGGAAATTAACTGATTTTGATTGGTCAATCAGAGGTTATCAATCAAATCACAATAAACCCGCTCTGATTGAAACAGTCGTTTTGACGCCGCATCAGTGCGGAAGCTAACTAGGAGACAAATCTACTGAATTTTGAAATTTTATGTAGCCCCACTGAAGAGTAGATACCTCTTAATTTGGAACCGAGTCTTGTAATAATTGTAATCTCATCATCGAAGAAGTCGGGGTTACGGCCTAGAACGTCAAAATCGTCGCCAAAAACCGATACCAAAGTACCGTGTTTCCTCCATTACACGATGGGACGTCTGGTAATTTCGCGAGATTGGTTGGTTGGTTGGTTGGTTGTTTAACGCCGCACTCAGCAAGATTTCAGCTATATGACGGCGGTCTGTGTAAATAATCGTGTCTGGACCATACAATCCAGTGATTGATATCATGAGCATCGATCCACGCATTTGGGATCGATGACATGCATCAACCAAGTCAGCAGCCTGACCAACCGATCCCGTTAGTCGCCTTTTACGACAAGCATAATCACCATTTACGGCAAGCATGGGTTGCTGAAGACCTATTCTACCCCGGAATCTTTCGCGAGACCCGTTGCATGTATTAAAGACCAAGCGTCTATTACGGTTAATATCGATACGGTATACAGTTCTTATCGGTGATCGGCAGCCATTTGTTACACAATTTATATAATTGTTCTTCTTTTTCAGTCATTGTTGGTAGGCATATTTAAATAACGTTATGTTGGTTGACTGGTTGGTTTGTTGTTTAACGCCGCACTCAGCGATAATCAAGCTGTATGACGGCGGTCTGTAAATAATCGAGTTTGGACCAGACAATCCAGTAGTTAAACATCAATCCACGCAACTGGGATACGATGACATGCATCAACCAAGTCAGCGAGCCTGACCACCCGATTCTGTTAGTCGCCTCTTACGACAAGCAAAGTCGCCTTTTACGGCAAGCATGGGTTGCTGAAGACCTATTCAAAGCCGGATCGATAGAGTGATTCGAGGGTGTGGCCAATGTGTGTTGAACACTGGTTGAGAAGATCAAACAAACAAACTTTGTATCATGTGTTTGGAGAAATGCTCACAAACCAACTCATGTTCAATATGCACCAGAAAGATTTTGTTTTGTTTGTTGTTTAACGCCGCACTCAACAATATTTCAGCTATATGGCGGTGGTCTGTAAAATAATCGAGTCTGGACCAGACAATCAAGTGATTAATATCATGAGCATCGATCCACGCAATTGGGATCGATGACCTGCATCAACCAAGTCAGCAAGGGTGACCACCCGATCCCGTTAGTCGCCTTATGGCAAGCATGGGTTGCTGAACGCCTATTCTACCCCGGATTTTCACGGGTCGCACCAGAAGGACATGGCTGGCTGGTTTGTTGGTTTGTTGTTTAACGCCGCACTCAGCAATATTCCGGCGGTCTGTAAATAATCGAGTCTGGACCAGACAATCCAGTGATTGATATCATGACCACCCGATCTCGTTAGTCGCCTTTTACGACAAGCATAGTCGCATTTTACAGCAAGCATGGGTTGCTGAAGACCTATTCTACCCCGGAATCTTATAGCTGGAATATTGCTGAGTGCGGCGTTAAACAACCAACCAAACCAAAGACTATGTCTGAGATAATGCGGATGCGACGTTAATTTTTAACTCACTCAAAGACTTGGTTGATGCATGTCATCGGTCCCAATTGCGTGGATCGATGCACATGATGTCAATCGCTGGATTGTCTGGTTCAGACTCGATTATTTACAGACCGCCGCCATATAGCTGAAATATTGCTGAGTACGGCGTAAAACAACAAACAAAGTTTATTGCTTCAAATTGCAAGGATTGTTGCTAGATTGTTAAAAACTGGATACCGCTTATAGAAAGGGTGGGGTCCGATTTATTTATTGTTTAATATGTTGTCCGTTTGAATTATGTCCAAAACACACTGAAAATTATAAGAAATGATTGCATAAGAGTATAAACCTATTTACAACCGCATATTTGGCAGTATAAACAGTTTTAAAAAAATGTTGACTTCATCAACGTTATTTAACTTTGAAGAAAATTCTAAAAATAGTAGCTTATGTGTTTGTTTGTTGTTTAACGCCGCACTCAGCAATATTCAGCTATAAGACGGGCAGCTTATGTGATTCGCACGCAACCGTTACCCTAGTTTGTGATGTACGCTGATTTTCCCGCTTGCTGCGTTAATCATTGAGTTCAGAGATGTGATTTTGAACAGGTGTTGTGAACAAGCTTCGAGAATTAGTGCACGAAGAGTTACCTCCTCTTACCATGAGCTTGGCTTCAAACAGATGGACTATTGCTGAGTGCGGCGTTAAACAACAAACAATCAATCACTCTAAACTTGATTACGGCTCGATCGTGCATTAGCTCACCGGGACCGAAGGACCAAGGTTTCGCCATACCGTGGCCTCCGTCGTCCGTTCTATCTCCGTACGTCAACAATTTTTTCAAACGACTTCTTCTGAACCACAAATTGG